AACATCTTAAAGTCATGTTTTCTTACTTTCTTAAAGTCATTATTAACAAATTTTATATATCAATAGATAGATAGGTACATAGATGACAGATATACATATGGATAGATAGATAAATAGATATAGATAGATGATTAAGTAGATAGCTGCATGCTGTTATTTTAAATCAGTCTGTGTATTTATTTTTATTCTTTTTTCATGTATAGTAATTTTGGAATGATAGGATAAACAGGTTCAATGAACTAGTGATATTATTACTATTTACCAAGTATTATGATTATATCATTATAATCTTAATGTAGACTATTTCAAAACCATGTACACACAGCTAAATGAAGCCAAAGATTATAGCAGAGGATGGAGTGTATTACAAGCGCAGCACATACAATAATACTTTACAAATAGCTGACAATTAACAGTATTAGCTAACATGGATATATTAAAAAAGAAAAATAAATTTAAGGTATTAAAGCTGAGGGGTAAGGCACCTTTCTATGGGATCTAAACTGTTGAATGTCAGCACTTGCCAAGAATGGAAGACAAAGGAGGAGAAACTAGCCAGAATTCAAATGAGGTAAGAGGTCTAATGTTTCATTCCCACTACTGAATACACCATGGTTTGTTTTAGAGAGTTCACGAAGTGTAGGACAATAACACCAAATCTGTGGTTTTATGCCTTGTTGCTTTCTATTTTATGCTTCCCCTTGTGGTGGTGATAAAGTATAAAGTAAGTAAGCTTTACAGCCTCTTTTCTTCCTAGCCAACTGTGTGCTGGCTTAGCGGTCAAATGTTAAAAACAGTTAACTAGATTATTTATCCTTCCTAAAAAAAATGTAAGAAAAGGAAGTTGTATGAAAAATATGTGGAAGGAGAGTATTTTCTATAATGAAAACTTCTTGAAAGCAATGCATTGAAATGCATTTCGGCAGTGATGTCACCTATCAGAAAAAAAGGCAAGGGTCTCCACAGCATCCTACTCTCTCTAAAAAGACCAAAGCACAGCTTCTATTCCTCTTCTTTCTCTCCTCTTCTCCCACCTCTCGTGCTCTTCCTCTTCCACACTTGTTTTGAAGAATCTCTTGATTCCCAGGATGGCCTTGACTCTATAGACCCAAGAAAGATCCTGATCCCTAATCAGCTGCCCCTCTTACCAGCACTTCCCACACCCAGGTTGTACTCTTTACTGGAGCTACAGGATCAAATCCAGGACCTTGTGCTCATTAGACAAGTATGCTACCAACTGAGTTATGTCCATAACCTATTTTCAATCTACTTTCAAAGGTTCATTTATTTATTTATTTTTGAGATCCTTGGAGGGATACCCATTGGAGTGCTTCAGTTATACTAAAGGAAATAATGTCTATCCCGTTTAATGGACAAAGGAAGAAATTATAAAATTATAAAATTACAATCAAGTTCCAGAAGTATCTCATGGACACCAATGAATGAAATGTCTAAGCCCAAAAGCCATCAAAAGCCTACAAGAGGGAGCTGAAGAAAATACTCAGTGACTGCTATTTGAGAGGACCTAGGTTCAATTCCTAACACCCACATGGCAGCTCAGAACTGTCTGGTGGATCCAACACCCTCACACAGACATACATGCACAAATATTGGCAAAACACAAATATCCATAAAATAAAAAATAAACAGTTCATTTTTAAAAAGTAAATAAATCACAGGGTAAAGAGGACTTGCAATACTGCCATTAGCCAAGACGTAAAGGAATTTTCCCATTAAAACCCATAACAGCCACAGTAAAATGTGTTTTCTTTAAACAAACAAACAACAACAGCCAAACAAAAACAAACCCAGCAATTGGGAATCAGACACAGGCAGATCTCTGTGAGTTCAAGATCAGTCTGGTCTACAAGAGCGGCTTTCAGGAAACCCTGTCAGAGAGAGAGGGGGGGGGGGAGAGGAGGAAGAGGTGGGGGTGAGCAACTAGCCTGAGTCTCATTTTAGTATTTTGGGAAAGTACTCTCTTTCTCTGTTCTGTGCATCTGTTTTGGAGTGCTGGTTCAAATCTACTGGGTGTACATTTCTCTCTGGCATTAAAACCACAAGATAAGGATGGCTATGTTCAGGTACCTAAGGAGACAAGGAACCTGAGTGCAGAACCCGAGTGCTCTTTGTTATAATACCAAATATTTCCTGGTCAGGTTTCTAATAGACACACCCTGTGTATTTTCCTCACATGAGTGGCATTGTGGATGTGTTGGCACTGAAATTGTGAGACTATCAGCAGAGACTTTCATGCTGTTTAGAGAACATTTTACCATCAAAGAAAGCTGTATAACAAATCAATAGTTTTAAAAAATTTCTTAGTTGGGATGAGGAGAGGTTCAGTCAGTCTTGTTAGGCAAGGATGAGAACCCCTTTGATCTTGAGTACCCACTAAATTCTGAGTAGAGCATAACAAAGTGTAATGATGGCAGTGAAGGGCCTGGGAAAGAAAAATCTCTGGCGTGTCATAGGGCCAAATTAGTGAGTTCCAGGTTTAGTAAGAGACACAGTCTCAAGGAAGTATTGCCAAGAAGAAATTAAGGAAGACATCTTGTGTCAGCCTCTGGCTTCTGCATGGCCATATGTATATGTGTTCATCTGTACAACCTGCACATGCATGACACACACAAACATATACACACAAATATGCTACGCAGAAGGACACCCATTGATTCTGTAGTGAGCAAATCAACTAGTTCACGTTAGGTACTTTTCTAAATACTGACTGCTCAGTTAAGAATTAAGCTTGCCCTGGCCTGTGGGTAACACAAGTCACAGAACGGGTAGTGCTTTCAGAAAGAAAAAAACAACATGTCAGAATATGACCGCATGAAAATAAGAGTGGGACATTTCTCCAAAAACAAAATAATTTCTATGGCTCCTAAAGAAAGGAATGGATCCAGAAAGAAATTGGTACCCATTAAGCCTCCCGCTCCATATGCATGATAGCTTTAAGCTATTCTTCCTGAAGGGAAATTGAGAACATCTTTGAAAATTTGCTCTATAAATCATGATCACACGAACACATCTAAGGGCCATGTGAACCAAGACAACGACTGGTGTGACGTTACAACTAGCCTCCACAATTCAGAATTTATGGAGACAGGTAGCATGGTGTAATGAAAGAAGTTCTTTATTGCTTGGGTTCTGTTTCTAATGTGTTATTACTGGTCAGTTATGTGATGAGACAGTTACTGTAAGTGCAGATCAGCCAGAAGGTGATTTCAAGAATGAATAAAACTCCAAATTAGAAGAAGGCTTTTAGAATGTGCCAGAATAAAACTTTAAATAGCATGTCACTTAGTAACCTAGTATATAACTCTCTCTCTTTCTTCCTCCTTTCTCGTTCTCTCTCTCCCTCTCTCTTTTTCTATAGCCCTTCCTCCCAGCTTCCTCCTTCCTTCCCTCCCCCCTCTCTCATAGTCACTACTCTTTTCTCATCAAGAGAACAAAAAAATGAGACTCTGGAATCTTCTACCTTTGGCCTACTGGTTAATTTCCCTCTTTTTAACGTCATTGACATTTTCATCTAATCAAATGTCACTTGAATGCTGACATAACCTACATGATTTCCTCATTAGACTTAGTAGTGTTCCAATGCAATACTGTATTTTACCCTCATTCTTTTCATCTCCTCTGCACTGTTTGTTGTAGGCAGGAGTCATATGTGATTTATTTAGATGTGTGTTCTCTGTGTCTACAAAGTTGAAGTCAAGAAGCATTATTTGCTATTGTAGATGAACTAAGATTATTTTTAAACAATAAATATATGCCACATTTAAGAATGATTGTATTATAAAGCAACAAAAGATACATGAACAAAATATATTAACAAGTAAAAAGAAAATTATTAAAATTACTTTTAATAAAACATTAAGATAAGATGCGTATGGGTTAGCACAAAATTTATAAGCATTTACAGAGGCTATTTAGGAATCAGTAAGAAACCATTTCTAATTCTGCATAGAAATCTCAGCCTGGTTTATTTTACTTTTCCCAAACACATTCACTAAATTAAGTTCAACATGTTTTCTAAGAATTTTAGACCCATTGTTTCAAGGATGTTACTCAAGCATGTATATATAACTTTCATATTCTAGAGGTTAAAATTCTAAAAAATGGTATCATTGGTCAATAATTGCATTAAAAGATTATAAGGATTACACAATTATAAATATTTTCACATTACTTATTTTCAGTAAAAGCTAGCAATATGGGAAATCAAGTGAAACACATGGAAGACGTTCACACAGTTGTCACAGGGCATTCCTAATCTCTCTCATGCTGTTTGGATCTGAGGGACTATTTATTTCTATGGCTCCTGTTTTTGCTTTCTCCTTTAGTTTCTCTCTGCTTCAGCATCATTCCGCTTTTCACATGTGGCCTAAGATAGTTTCTGTACACTGCATTTTAGAAAGGAGAGCTAAGAACTCAGATGTTGAGTCTTCTACGGCCCTATCTTGCTAGAAAGATGCTATGTAATTTTCATAGGTAACTCATAGATGTATCATCTATTTGCGATTTCTTCTGAGTTTACTTTAGATTTTTACAGTTTCGAAAGAAATGGCATTGACCTAAATTAGGAGGAGCGACACTATTGCTCTCTGCATCATCCTCTTCTCCGAGTGACAGAAGCGAGGTAGAGAAGAGATGAAGCTGAAGCCACCCATCCTTATCTGATTAGTCCTCTGACTCTCTTAGTCCTCATCCTGTCAGGAAAAGAGGGACTTGCAGTGTGTCCTGCACTCTACCATGGCAGGATCTTTTTATCAATCTAACAACGACAGCACCTATCTACGTGGGTCGTCAGTCACTTTGGCATTGCTATTCCTATCCTTTTCCTGCAGGTGCCTCCCTGTTGCTTATCTTCTGCCTACAGCCACAGTCTCTGCCTGGCAGAAGGGTAGAGCTACCGAGTCTAATCTAGAAGGCCTTGCTTTGCACATTATGACATCATGCCCACTCAAAAAGAATAGTAGAAAAAGAAATAGCTGTACCCGCAGGAAGGAGAGGTCCCGGTTGTGCTCGATGCTGGTGATCTCCAGGTTGCCCATGACTACCTCACAGTTTTCATAGTATTTGCGCAAGGCTCGGTACTGCTGTTCCAGGTCAGAGAGAGAGCTCAGTTTATTCTCTGTTCCTGCGCACACTGAAAAAGACAAAGATGCACCTAAAGTTATTTAACCTGTATGTGACATGAACAAAGATAATATCTTACAAAAAGTGCACTCCTGAATAGTTTATCTCAACTCAAAATATTTAAAACATGATCAAGGGTCATAGACTACCACCCCTCCAGAGAGAAATTAGCTTAACTTTTGTATTGTTTAATAACACATGTCAAAGAAAAAGAAGAAAAAGTGGCTTCCATGGGATTCTTTAACTAAATTTTAAGAGGATACTTGAAATAATCACATTGCTATGCTTATACAAAAGCTCTCAGAGAAAAAGACTTAATTTCATCTATATATGCTTCACTTTAAGATTTATAATCTACCCAAATTTCTGATAAAGTAATTGTCTAAACATAAATAAAACTGAAAGATGAGAATAACAATATTTAAAAAAAATATTTACTATCTACTGTACAATAAGTTGTTCGAGTAAATTATCTTAGTGATATAAATATGCACATGAAGACCAACCTCAATAATACCAATCTTTAAAATGTGTTAAGCAATTTGATTTGAAATGTTTCATAAATATACTACAAAGAAGATATGTTATAAAATGCTGACCTTAACCAAGTTATCCACATGCATATTCTTGAGTGTTCAAAAGCATAATGTTCTGCTTGTACGTATATTAGTCATGCATACTTGATTGATGGAACCTTGTTTTGGTTCATATGTCAGCCCATCAATGTACACACATACATGTCTGTTTTATGAATGTAGTGTTATCTATTTTGCCTCTCACCCTCAGATTTTAATGTTATTTTCACAACACACAAATAGGTATGTATACAGTCCTTAACATTTAATATACTGGTCAGTTTTCCTTATGCTAAAACATTGGAATGTAAATTACAATATTAATGAGTAATGAAAAACTGTATTTTAATGTATCATTTTTAGGTAAGTTAATTAGTATATCCAAAATAAAGCACAAATAACTTCAAAGATGTTGGTGGCAGAGATTGGGATAAAGGTCACATATACAATTGTATGTCCTGTATATAGAAATGACAAGTAACTATGCCTGGTGGTATTTTCAGGGTAGATAGGAGAAAAAAGTCTCGAGGGAATAGTCTTAACATTTAAGACTAACTGTTTTCCTAGTAATTACACCAAAACTGACAAAATTTTAATGTAAAAAAAATTGAAGATTATTATAGATCTAATCCACAGCACTACTGAGAAGTTGTGGAAACTTCAAATTAGTAGAAAAAAACCTATAGAGAGATGTTCCTATCCAATTCAAGAATGATATGTTGCAATGACTCACCACAGGCACCCAAAACCATAGACTAGAACCTCAGAAACCATAAGTACTGCAAATTTTCCTCTCTATGAGCTGATCTCAGGTATTTGTTAGAAATGGTGTCACGTTAAGGCGACGGTAGGTAGTCCTGGTGCAATGTGTTCTACACACATTCAAGAGAAAGACCCTGGGCTGTGGAGACAAGTCACTGAGTAGTGTTTGTTGCTCAAGAATCAAGATCTGAATTAACACTTGCAGAACCAGGTAAAAACAAAACAAACAAACAAATAACCAGATATAATTATGCTCCCCTTTATCCCTGACGCAGGAGATTCAACAGGGTAGAGACAAGTTTATCATTGAGTTTACTGGCCAAACAGTCTATCTAAAATGACAAGAACTCAAAGTTCAGTGAGAGATTTGGTCTTAGAATAGATGAATGAACAAACAGACAAATAAAGAGGGGGAAAGTGGCTAATACAGACATGGTGGCATCAGCCTCTGGCCTCCACGTGTACTTGTATGACTGAGCACACCTACACACATATGTGCATATACTACACATGCACACATTCACACAGCCAAAGGAGAAAGTACCTTGCAGTGCAGCTACCTAGGAAGGCAGCCCTGTGATCATAAAGGCAAAGCTGGAATGAAGCACCTAAAATATAAAGGATGTAATGGACTGACAGTCATTATTAGTAGCAAGGGAAGATGCTGACTGAATCTCAACAGGTATATGAACCTGGGGATGCCCATTGTTTAGATTTCTGACCTACAGATATGGGAGAAGGTAAATGCTACGAAAGTAAGTTCCCTACTCTGTGATACTTTGTCACAATATTGAATATTTCTCCCCAAAATCACTTACTTTTAGATAGAGTTTATAGCATAGGCTATATGAAACTCCCTGTTATCTAGGTGTGTCTCAAACCTTCAACAAATATAACTTAGTCTTCCAAGAAAGACACTTTGTCAGGCTTAAAATAATAGCATGTACATGTAAAACCATCTTTTTCTTTCTGTATGGTAATAGAGTAAGGAGTTTTCATGTGGAAATTTACACAATAAAAGCAAAGATTACATTTCACTCTTTTCTTTGAAAGTAAGAATAGCCACAGAGTTTTGACATGCTGTGGATCACGTTCTCAGAACTTTACTTTTAATGTGGATTGAACCAGTTTTGTCTGATTACTTCAAATTATCTTCAGGTCAGCTTCAAGAAATGCAAGAGGGTTAAATCTAATGATATTTTTATTACTGATGATTTCATTAATAAATACTATGTAATATATAATAGTATCATATCCACACCCCATTTCCCATCTTCGATTTCCCTTACATAGCCCCTAATAAGACCCAACCCCAACTGCACTCCCTCTTTTTGCTGGTCTTTATGGTAGTTGCATGGGTACTGGGTAATTCCCCACAGCCTTGGAAACATACAAGTGGGGATACATTCAATAAAAGAATGACTCTTTTTTTCCTAACAGGATTAACTTCTAGTAGCTCCATGGTAAAGAGTGGTCCTGGAGGGTATGTCCCCATCCCTGTTGGCTATTCTATGTTGGTTATCTTGACCTTGTGTAAGCAACCCCATTTACTGTGAGTTCATGAATATGACAGTTGTTTCAAGCCAAGCAGTTTTTATTTCATCACACTCTTGCCTATTATTCAGCTCATACATTCTTTTGCTCTTCTCCACTGTGTCCTCTAAACCTTGGTGATAGCAGTGGAGTAAGGCTGATAAAGACATCCCGTTTAGGAGTGTGCGCTCAATCAATTGCTCTCAGCAATTTGCTTACTATGCACTGAATTCTTGTGATGTGGGGACATTTTCCTCTCTATTCTATGAATATGCTTTATTGCCTTTGGTTATTAACAAAGCAGATGGAATCCAGGAGATACCATGAAACTGCCACAAGGTATGGTGATGCATAGATTAATGGAAATGCATTAATTCAAGATATAAGAATTAGCTAATAATACACCTGAGCCAGCAGCCTAACAGTGTTGTAATTAATATAGTTTCTGTGTGATTATTTGAATTCGGGTCTGGGTAGTCAGGAAACTAAAGTGTAATCTCTGCTTACTCTCTTGATGCATAACATTAAGATCTATTTTTATTTAAGAAAGGTTGCCAGTGTGTGTGTGTGTGTGTGTGTGTGTGTGTACTGCTGAGGACATGTTGGATATCCTAGAAATGGAGTTATAATTGGCATGAGCTGCCCTTGAAAGGTGATGGAACTGAACTTGGCTCCTCTATAGAAAGGACAAGGACTGTAACTAAACCATTTCTCCAGCCTAGAAAGCTATATATTTAGTCATGATCTGGACTTTAAAGGAAGGACCAATCCCAAAAAATGGTTGAGAAATTAGGTACAGGAGGTAGAATTTCAAACAACTGTGACTTGTATTGTTAAATTTTAATAACAACAATATAACAGTTATATTGGCTCAAGAGCTAAAATACGAAAGGAGGATTAAAACTAAAGTTATATGGTCTGTGTCATAAATAATTTCAACTACTCTGTCTGGCTATTGTAGGAGATACATTCCTCACAAAATGAGTCAATTTGGTCAATGGAACAATTTACCGGGTATGTAGAGCATCTCCTCTTTGTAAACTAACAAGTTCTAGAACAAGATGAATTCTGTTGATAAATAATATTCAATACAAGCAGAATAGTGACCACAATTTATTCACATAGAAATCTGTTATTGATCAAGATTAAAGCTAGGCTTTTACTTTGCATTATACATTAGAAACTCATTGAGAAAACCTTTAGTCCATGATCTCTATTTTATTGCTCCATGCAAATTAAAACACTTCCTATAAAAATAAAATATCTGTGAAAAAACTAATATATAAGTTTATGAAATGTCGATTTTAATTAAGTCCCAATGATGTTAAACTTTTATTTTAAATCAGTGTGTTACTATCTACATGAAGAGGGTTTCTAAATATTTAGTGCACTGTGACCTTTGGTCTGAAAGATTAAGCACATTTGGGGTACTCACATTTGATATTCTAATTGAAATATTTAAATATTGTTGCAATTATAAATTTATAAATTATAAATATTTTTCAATTATATTAAAAAGAAATGCATAGCATGAAGAAGACATTGAATTTAGATAGTTTTAAGTTCATGGCTTAGTTAGCTTTACTATTGCTATGAGAAAACACCGTGACCAAAAAGAAGTTGGGAAATAAAGAGTTTATTTGGCTTGCATGTCAGCTCATCACTGAAGGAAGTCAGAACAGAAACTTAAACAGCTCAGAAACTTGGTAGCAGGAGCTGATGCAGAGACCATGAAGGGGTGTCTCTTGAGTGCTGACTCCTCATTGCTTGCTTGGCCTGATATTTTATTGACCTCAGAACCACAGTCCAGCTGTGGCCCCACCTACAATGACTAATTTACAAAATGCCCTCCAGACTGACCTATAATCAATCCTTATGGAAGCATTTTCTTAACTGAAGTTCCTGCCTCTCAGATGACTACAGCTTGTGTCAAGTTGACATCGAACTATCCAGCATAATGTTAAACTCATTGTTTAACATTAGACAATGTAATGTAAACATTAAAGCGTTCTCAAGAGATTAAATATTCAAATTAGCTGTAACTCCAGTTCCAGGACACACCCTTCTGGAATCCATGGGCACCTTCACAAACATTGTGCACTTTACACGAATGCATGCAAAATATTCACAAATATAAAAT